TGATGCGGATTTTGCCTGGATTGCTTGCCGCAGATTTTGCCTAGATTGCTTGCTCAAACATGCCTCACCCCGTTGAAAATGTACCTCGTTAGGACCAGTATCCTCATATCATCCTGCAGCACGCCTCGAAAGTATCATCGCAGCGGGGCCGCGATGGGTCCCCTATTGTAGCCAGGATGCGGTGCATTGTTGCTTTGCTTTCGCGCGAAAATGCACCGCTTTTATTGGATGAGGTGTGAACAAGAATTGACGGAAATGGTTGGTGATTTCAACGGTCATCATGATAATACGCTTTGATTGGCACGCTTCCATAGAAGGCGCGCCCATTCTGAAGTGATCTTTTTCTATCCTTAGCTTCGTGCATTTTTGTACTAATCTAATAAAGTGCCGACAATTCTACTGCTGCTTCGAGCATGTGCCGTGACATTGCTTGTCTTTCTTAGCAGATTATGATATTAAATACACGAAGAAGGATAAGAAGCACTATCCTTTGCGGAAACATGTTTGTGAGCTTATTCTATTTAGTAGATTAGGATGCCAAGTACACTGTGAAGGATAAAAAGCATTATCTTTCGTGGAAGCATGTTGTACGTAGATTATGATGCTAAGTAGACTATGAAGGATGTGAAGCACTATCCTTCACGGAAGCATGTATGTGAGCTTGTCCTACTTTTCGCGCAGTGTTCATTAACTGTAAGTAGATGCATGCTTGGCATTGCTGTGTAGTCCTCTTTCTGCAGAAACGTGGCTCTAGTCCTTTAGTGCAAAAGCAACTAGGCGCCGCCGCAATGAGTTCTCCCGCTGCAGTGCGCTGGCATTGTGCCCTGAGCGATGTTTTGATTCGATGCTGCGCATGTAAAAAAAATCCTCCGGAATAGCCGTGACTGCCAACCAAGTGCAACAGGTACTGCAGTCAGGTGCCGTGACATTGCATTTGCAGTAGAGGCTCATCACCGGTCACCCCTTCTCGCCGCAAGTCGGGGCCGCGATTCATCTGACACTGTCAGGACCAGCACGCCTCAACTGTACCTCGCCTTTGCAATCATAGACAAATTCAGCACCGTGGTGTCAGGGGCAGTTGGTGTAGTGGTATCACACCCGCTCAGCATGCGGGAGGCCCCGGGTTCAATCCCCAGACTGTCCATGCTCAATTTAGTTCTGTTTGCTGCTGCGGGGACGAGCAGCCATCATGATAGTCATGTCCACGCATCTTTTGCATCACCAATGCTCTCTAACGTCACCCTTGGAATGTATACTATAGATATATATAGATATAGATATAGAAGTAGAAGAGAAGATATAGAATAGAAGATGCTAACCACATACACTATTTATACACTATAGAATGTGCACGAAAGAATATACACTATAGAAGATGATAACCAGCAGTCCTCATGATAATCATGTCCACGCAGCTTTTGCATCTCCAACAGGCAGCATAATGATCATGTCCACGCATCTTTTTGCATCACCAATAGCCAAAGTGCGGCGCATTTTTGCTTTGCTTGCGCGAAAATGCACCACGCCTCGAAACCATATACACTATATATACACTATCGAATGTGCACGATAGAATATACACTATAGAAGATGATAACCAGCAGTCCTCATGATAATCATGTCCACGCAGCTTTTGCATCTCCAACAGTCATCATAATGATCATGTCCAGGCAGCTTTTTGCATCACCAATAGCCAAAGTGCGGCGCATTTTTGCTTTGCTTGCGCGAAAATGCACCACGCCTCGAATGTGGCTCACTCCATTGAAAATGCGCCTCGCCTTTCGCCCTCATCTGGCACTGTCAGGAGCAGCACGCCTCAACTGTACCTCGCCGTTTCGATCATAGACAAATTGAGCACCGTGGTGTCAGGGGCAGTTGGTGTAGTGGTATCACACCCGCTCAGTATGCGGGAGGCCCCGGGTTCAAATCTCAGACTGTCCATGCTCAATTTAGTTCTGTTTGCTGCTGCGGGGACAAGCAGCCATCATGATAGTCATGTCCACGCATCTTTTGCATCACCAATGCTCTCTAACGTCACCCTTAAAATGTATACTATAGAAGATAGAAGATATAGAATATATATATAGAAGATATAGAATATATATATATTATATATAGAAGATAGAAGATAGAAGATGATAACCAGCAATCCTTATTACCTCATTAGACTATATACCTCATATACACTATAGAAGATGATAACCAGCAATCCTCATGATAATCATGTCCACGCAGCTTTTGCATCTCCAGCAGTCATCATGATGATCATGTCCACGCATCTTTTGCTAAGCATCCGCGTGATGGACAACTTTAGTTGATCCTGCCACCTGACAAAATTGCAAGTTTGTCAAGGTTGAGATGAGGACGATGATAAAGATAAGGAAGATGATGAAGATGATGATGATTATGATGATGATGATGATGATGATGAGACGACCAGACAAGCTACTGGCAGGCTCAAACTAGGTAGGACTACCATGATGATAATCACGAGGATGATGATGAACATGATGAGGATGATGATGATGAGGATGGTAATGATGTAACCTTATGAGGATGAAGCTTCGGTTATGCTCATATGCCAGCGCATCCTCAGCATCACCAACACCTCGCCTTTCGCCCTCATCTGGCACTGTCAGGAACAGCACGCCTCAACTGATGAACATGATGAGGATGATAATATATATAGAAGATAGAAGATGATAACCAGCAATCCTTATTACCTCATTAGACTATATACCTCATATACACTATAGAAGATGATAACCAGCAATCCTCATGATAATCATGTCCACGCAGCTTTTGCATCTCCAGCAGTCATCATGATGATCATGTCCACGCATCTTTTGCTAAGCATCCGCGTGATGGACAACTTTAGTTGATCCTGCCAGTAGTCATATGCTTGTAGACAAATTCAGAACCATGGTGTCAGGGGCAGTTAATGTTTTTCTTCTGCAAATGGGTTGTCCATTAGGCCGCGCAGACTACCCTGACAAAATTGCAAGTTTGTCAAGGTTGAGATGAGGACGATGATAAAGATAAGGAAGAGGATGAAGATGATGATGATTATGATGATGATGATGATGATGATGAGACGACCAGACAAGCTACTGGCAGGCTCAAACTAGGTAGGATTACCATGATGATAATCACGAGGATGATGATGAACATGATGAGGATGATGATGATGAGGATGGTAATGATGTAACCTTATGAGGATGAAGCTTCGGTTATGCTCATATGCCAGCGCATCCTCAGCATCACCAACACCTCGCCTTTCGCCCTCATCTGGCACTGTCAGGAACAGCACGCCTCAACTGATGAACATGATGAGGATGATAATGATGATGATGATAATGATGATTACCTTATGAGGATGAAGCTTCGGTTATGCTCATATGCCAGCGCATCCTCAACATCACCAACAGTCATCATGATAATCATGTCCACTAATGATAATGCATTGTCCTCATTTCCATTTCCGCTTGCAGCTCTGTATTTTCTATCAACCACCCTTCCCGTGCGCCTCGCCCTTGCGGACAAGGGGTCGGCGGATATATATATGTATTTAAGTATATGTGGGTGGGTGGGTGGGTGGGTGGGTGGGTGGGTGGGTGGGTGGGGGGGGGTGGGTGGGTGGGGTGGTGTGGGTGGGTGGTTGGGGGGGGGGGGGGTGGGGGGGTGCGGGCGGGCGGGGCGGGCGGGCGGAGCGGGCGGGGGCGGGCGGCCGCGGCGGCGGGTGCGGGCGGCAGGCGGTGCGGCGGGCGGGCGCGCTGCGGGGGGCGGGCGGTCGGCCGGGCGGGCGGGGCGGCGGGGGGTGCGGGCGGTGGGGGGGGCGGGCGGGCGGGCGGGGGGTGCCGGGCGGGCGGGCGGTGTGTGGTGGGTGGGTGGGTGGGTGGGTGGGTGGGTGGGTGGGTGGGTGGGTGGGAGTGTGTCTTTGAGCTCTTGAGGGTGCTTTTTCAGGTTGGTAAGAAGGGAAACCAAGCAGAACGCCACCCTCTTTAGGAGGACCTTTTGACACATCCCCAGCTCATAGTGTTTCAAAGCAAGCAGTGGCGGTGTGTTTGGCTATCCTCGTTGATTTACACATAGGCTGTTTGCAGGGTGGTGACTTGTGGAAGCATTTGTTTGAGAGCATTCTGGTTTTCTCATAGTTTGCTCGGGGAAGTTCCTCCCAACATATATTGGAAGGCACCCTGAAGGCTTGCTCAGCTTTGGCTCAGATTTCAAGAGCCGTTCCCTTACGCAAAGACCTGGCTAAACGCAAAAACATAATGCCAACATCACCGAGCACTGCGAGCTTGAAGTGTGTTCATGCACGCATGACGAAACCTCAGCAGGGGCATGTATTCCTTCAGCATGCTGCAACTAGAAGTAGCTTGTTCTCAAGTTAGATTCAAGCAAATTCACGTCCCTGCTGCTCACATGTTGTCACTGGCGTTATGGCAGATTCTTCACTACTCACATCAGCTGAATCTTCATGCAAGTTGCATGAGCGCCCTGTCAGGAGCCCCACGAACGAGTTTGGAAGAGTAGAGACGCCATTCGAGCAAGCTGATTGCTTGCCTGTTGACTTGGGACACTCGCCTTACAATTATGATCCAATTGTAATCTAGTGCCACTAAACCGTTTGAACCTAGAAGCCTAAGGGGATGGCAGGGATCCACCCAGTGCTGAACAGCGGGGACAGAACGCTACCAGGACTCCATTTATCAATTCTTTTGAGGGGTGCTGCTAGGGTCTGTCATGGCACCAACTGAGCCCCATGCCTGAGCATGGGAAGTGGTCTCCAACAGGTGGCTGGCGGGCCTGAATTCTGCCACAATTCTAGCATGTTCTGGAGGGGCAATTGGAATAGATGGTGAACCCTGCAACAGAATTTCTGGGGGGGGTGCCCATTTCCCACTAAACGCGAAACTTTCCGCAGGGGATCTGAAAACGGACAGCTCAGAGTAGGCTCTCCCGCTCGCCCTGAAACATCTTGTCCTCGTCCAGACGTCAGGTTGGGCCGATCGCCGCGCACCCAGGCTTCAGGGACCGGCTGAAAAACCGTCCCTGCACTCATGGCTTCTGGGCAGATGTTTGAAATTTTGGATCCGATCGTGAAGTGGGCACCAGAATCAGGAACCCCCAGGAAGTGGACAATTGTTCGCTAGCAGAGATCAAACCTGGAATGTGTCTCCAAGTGGAACCGCCGGGTTGCCAATATACATCGCCCCTTCTTTGGTGGAGCGGAGCCATTGATCAGAACCACTTGTTATTGGTTTGGTTCAAATGATTTCCATGTAGATTCTGCCAAAGCAGAGGTTTTCTGTCGCAAAGGAACCGCAGAGGTGACATGTCCCAGATACCAAAGTGCAGCAGCGGATTGCGAAGCCCAAGGTGGTCTTTTGCCTCATACTGCCGCTTATCCTTCTGGATGGGAATCAGACCCTGGAGCAGAGGCAAGGGAAGGGCGTGGCATATGGGATATCCTTTCCGGGGTGGTTGCAAAGGAACACCAAGCGGAAGGCATCCATTTTGGGGTTCCCCTACTGCGAGAATCTTGGAGATAGGCTCGTACGTTGCAAGGTTAGTGGCCATGTGTCATTGTTGGCGTGACCACGCTGCACTGAGGCCACCTGTCAATGTAAGCGTTCGGCAAATGAGTTGCTCAGGGTGTTGGGCAGTTCTTGATTCTCAGCAAGGGATGCTTGATTCTTCTTGCCGGCGATGATTGCTGCAAGGATTTTGGGACATGCAACCACTCTGTCTATGGCCGGTCTCACTCACTTTAGGCATCCGCTAGTTTCGCGTTTGATGTACAGGGGACATGCTGGTCATGAACCTCGCCACAGGAATACACGTGCAGATGTTGTCTATCAATACACAGATAAACTCAACCAGGTAATATGGTTCAGAACGGTTCATCTACATATCCAATCATCAATATATGCTCATCTACACGATACCCACTCCAAAGATGGACTTTGTGTCGTTTCCATGGAAGGGCTGAACCAACCTGCTCGGAAAGGTCTATTCAACACACAAAATACCAGAAACACAGAGTCCTGGAACACTTACATGTACATAATTTCCGCAGTACTTCAGAATTTGTCGCGAGTAGAGCTACCTGCTTGAAGTGTTGGGCCGGTTTGAATTCCCACAGTACCTGGGAATTGAACATGATTCAGCTTTCGGGAAGTGGATTCAAGATTTCATCACAGGAGTGCCTGGCAACTTTGGCGTTTGAATTCAGACAGTTGGGACTTTGAAAACATGTGTGACCCTGGCCCACAGACTATCACCGAACTGGATTCAATATTTGTTATGCTGCTTGGCAGCTTCTCACAGGTCACAGGCACCATAAAATGGATTCAAGAACAACGAGCCCCGTGCCGTTCCTTTCTCTTGAATCTTGAATGGAGCGAGTACTAGACAAAATCTTATGTACCGAAGAGCATATATATATATATGTAGAGAGAGATCTTGTGTATGTCAACACACTTGGGCAGCGTTTTTTTTTTTTTAATTGGAATCAAGGATTTATACAAAAAGGGAACTGCATCATGTTCGCGTAGGCAATTTAGCTGGGGGGCGTAGGCGCGCGGAGGCTTCGCGTAGGCATTTCGTGCACATCCTTGTATTTGTTCTTGCGTAGGCGCGCGCGTAGGCACTTGATGGAGTTGTTATGTATTGTCTGAAGCTTTATGTTTTACAATGCACATGGATGGGCATGGGTTTGGCTGAGTTGTTGCAGACACACTGAGAAAAGGGTTCTTGAACTAACATGGCTAAGAATTGTCAAAGCGGTTGGCGGACATGAATCCCCCCCAGATATGTCCATCAAAAGGGTCCCCCAGTAAAACAAACGCCCGTATAATGGCGGCTGTCCACTGTTCAAATGAGCAGCGTTTTTAAATCAAATGAAAGAGTTTATACAACAAGGGAAGTGCATGTACTTTGCGGAAGCAATCCTGGTTGGGGGCGTAGGCTCGCGTAGACTTCAGCGCGTAGGCTGTTGTGTCACCCCTCGCGTAGGCTTTTCGCGTAGGCGTTTGTTGAACAAATCATGACTGTTTGCCACGTATGAAGGAATTTGCTTCTTTTGCCTTCCTTTGTTTGTTCTGCAGTCTTCGCCCAGGCTCCGCGTAGGCCCCGCGTAGGCATTCGCGTAGGCTTTCAAGGCACTTTGGGTGCGTAGACCTTGTCTAGCAGCCAGATCCTTGGACAGATGTTGGATTCTCACTTGTACTGCATTTCTGATCTTAGAGCCGGAGCTGCCAAAACTGCACTTGCACTGAAAAGTTGCGATTTTCCAGCTGGAGCTGCCACAGTGCACTTCGACACTTGAACTCAACGTTTGCCCGCGTAGGTAGGCACCTGGAAGCTGCTTGTGATCGCGTAGGCACCCCTCGCAGGCCGCGTAGGCTTGCGTAGGCGCGCAGGTAGTGGATAGGCCCCGAACCACCACAAAACACTGCTCAAATGCTGATTCAGAGCCACGACAAAGGGGATCCCTGGGAAATCAAACATGTTATCGCGCTTTGGCGGCGCAATCATCTTCCACATCATCTGCTTCTTCTACATCATCTGCATCTGTGTCAGACAACGATTGACGTGGCATTGCAAAGCTCGAGCTGGAAAAAAGCGGCGCGCGATTTTCTTGCGTAGGCGTCCGCGTAGGCGCGGCAAGAGACAAACGTGCGCGCGTAGGCACCCCTTGCAGTCGCGGAGGCGTTGCGTAGGCGCTCGCGTAGGCATGTGTGCAGTGTATAGGCCCCGAGCACCAACAACAAAACACTACCCACTTGAGCACAGAAAGCTCACCGAACACCAGCCAAATGTTAAATTCGATTCACTGAATCTCTGCGAAGTCCTTCAACTGTGTGTTGCCGTGCCAATAGTCTTTAAGCTGCCAACATTGAAGCCGAAAGGGAGATGGGTGTGTGTCTTTTTGGATCCCTTATTCAGCACCCAGTTGGATTCCTGTGCTACGGTCCTTCATCATCATGTGATCTGCGACTCGAACTGCAAAACGAGCCTCTCAGACTCGGTTGCCAGGGGCATGAATTCATTCATGCCACGCCCACAGAGCGGGGATGGGTCCAGGGCCTGTGCAGGGTTGCAGCACTGACTTGGTGTGTGGTGTTTGACTGCGCTCTATATTGTCCATGCTCCATAGACCTGTTCACACTTGTCAAATTCAATTTGAATTCAGAACGCATGACAGCATGGCAATAGAGCTGCACATTGTACCTCATGCCGAAAGAGTCGGGGTGGCTTATCAGAGTCAATATGTTATGATGATGCTTGTGCGGACAGATAGATAATCGATATTGGAAGTTCAAGTCAATTTGCGCGTCCCTGGGCAGAAGCTCTCACCAATGTAGCACTAATCACGTCGTGGATAGCTGAGTGAAGTATCCCAAGTCCTGTTCCATCAGTCTGCCCGGGTTATTTGTTGGGTGTTCTGCGTGGTTGAACTCCAACCAACTAGGGAGAAGGAATCTAGAGATCTAGGGAAGGATTTTAGAAAGGCTATGAGGCCCATTATCCTTCTGAATTCTTCATGAGCTCTTATTCAAGGCGATTAGCTGATCCTGGGCTTATTTGGTGAGCCGCGCAGTTGAACCTGCCCTTCATCATGACTGAATGATCAAGCAGCTTGCTGCACGAGCACAGCGATTCTGCAAGAGACTGCAGATAAAGCAATCCATACTCTTGGCCCAGTTGCCAACTGAGGTTTTGATCCTCAGCAACAGAGGAGTTTCGTATCCCCTGAAACGGCTGACCTTCAACCCGGAGCCCATGAAAAGGACTGACTGGCTTGCCCGCTGCCACCCGAGTTTTACTATCGGCTTCTTTGTGATCAAGTTTGTCACCGGCAACATTATTGAGGCACGCCGCCAGCCAACGAAGTTTGGCGCTGTTTGTACGTCAACGTGACGCGGGAAAGGCACTGGTGCATGGTAAGGCAGCCCATGCAAAATATGTGTATATATGAATATGCAGATGTATGGTTGTACATTCCAGCAGCCCAGCAAACAGGTAATGGACACCCCCGATTAGCAAAGGGCCCCCTCCCCCCCTCAAGGTCGACAAGGTTTGTGAAAATCTTTTTTTTAAGGCTCTCTCTTGTAAAACCCCCCGGAGGGCAAATTTTATAGCGGCAAGCAAAGGGTGGCATTTTTTTTGAGGTGGCTGGGGACCCCTGATGAGTCAGGGGGGTTTGGCACACAAACATAATTCCCGCTGAGTAAAGAATAAAGAACTTTAATAAATAAGTTGAAAGGTTCAGGTATGTTATATGTGCTTGTACAGTCACATCTAGACAAGCACTTGGTGCGAGATGCTCCTCCTTTTGCTCTTATCGGGTTGCGCGCGCACACACACACACATTGGGATGGACGATCGTTCAGGTGCGCTCAGCGGAATGAGGCAGACCAGCCAGCAAGGACTTGCGCAACGCATCGCTTAGCATCTTGTTCATAGCAAAGGTCTGCTTCTTGTCGTTTGCCATGAAAATCGATGGCAGGCAACATTGCCGGATTCTGTGTGTGCAAAGGAAAGCATGCTTTGCACAGCTCATGTCCAACGTTCAGGGCTAAGCATCTCTGCCAGGCTGCCCCAACATTTCGGTGTTTCTTCTTTTTCAGGGTGCCTTTTGTTTGCAGTTTTAAAGCAAACCAAAAGGAACACCACCGCTTTGGGGGTCCCCCAAAAAGACACCCATATGTGGCCAAATGGCCCAAGGCTCGCAATTGGCCCTGTCATTCCAAGGCATCGCCTGAGTTGGTGTCGATGTCGCCAGGTGCAGCTCTATGCTAAGTCTGGAGGCGATCTCATGAGGATGCACCCGGCTGGCGCCTCAGGCCGACGAAAGCGAGTAGCATCAGCCTTTTGGCTGTCAAGGGAGACGAAAATTGTCAAGCCAAGTGAAAGCCAACTGCCAGTTGCTTGCTATTTAAATCAACGGCCGCCCCGGTTCCCTTACACTGATGTGCTTGAGCACTGTGTGAGTGCGGACATGTGTGGCGCTAACCTGGAGCTCGTGTCTGCAACATGTCTTTGGGTGCGTTGTGTCTTCAACGTGTGGCGGGGAGGGCGGTAAAACGCAGTACTGGGGCTTCGGGGGGCTGCACAGAAGTCGTGACCGCGTGACGCGACAAGGTCGTTATGTTGGCCTTGATGATGCTGTTCCAGTCGCTGATGGGCATGACAGGCTGGTCTTGATCCGTTCGTGCAATTTACATTCCATCACTCATCCAATGTCAAAACAGAACAAGCTCAGTGTGTGTGTATGCATATATATATATGTGTATATAGGTTGCTTTCAGGCGAGCACAAGTCTGGCTCAAGGGTTTAGACAAGCAGCCATGTCGGGATGATTCTGCTTCACTCGCTTTGCAAGCATGTTCCAGGTATGTTCATGACGGTTCCTGTGATGGCAGCTGCGCTTTGGCTGCATGAGTCGGGCCATGCCACATTCCCTTCTCATGGTGGCGGTGAGTTTGACATATTCGGAATGTGATTTGTTTAAAGTGGAGTGCCTTGCCAGCCTTAGAAGAAGTGTTGCCTTGCCAGCTACTGGGCATACTAATTAGTGCATAGCATGTTGAGGCTTGCGTGCCTGACAGCGTTTGGGTGCGATTCTTGTGATTGATCGCCCGTGTTCCTTTCAGTTTATGGTTTGATGGGGGTGGAGATTTTCACTAACCCTCAGACACGTGAGGGCCGCTCCAATCTACTTTACAGATAGGCATTCCCACGTGCTCGGCCGGTTGCGTCGGCTTTGTGTACACGTTGTTCACGCTAAGCTGGCCATGTGACCCCGTGTATTTGTCCAGCATGTTTTGAGAGAGTTTTAGTGATGCTTTTCCAATACGTAGCGCATGGAAGCTTGGCTTGGTTGCTGAGAAGTGGTCGTGGCCGCCCCGAGAAGCATGAGTCAAAGTTGTATTTACAATTTACTTTGACGTGTTTTTATTAGATTGGCAACCGTCACGTCGTAGGCTGCAGGACGCCCCACGCTTGTCAGCCAAGGCCAAGTATTACATGCTGAGCATGAACATGCCCAGTTCCGCCAGCTGCTCAGATTCCGAGCAAAACCGCAGAAAAGCGATTCCGGCACTGGGGTAGCGCAAGAAAACGGGCAAAAGGGTATGGCCCGTGCTAATCACTGGTTGTGTACATGCTGCGAAGGCAAAGCCCCAACATGCCACAACTTTGGGATGAAATGGGTGGGACATCTGATTCCCTGACCAGAAACACACCTATCTCTGCTGGCTGGCTAGCTTGCTTGCTGGCTTGCTATTTGGCTAATTACCGGCTTGCTTGCTTGCTGGCTCGCTCGCTGGCTGGCTGTCATGCGTGCCGGAGGGCTTGGATTGCTTGCTTTTGCTAGTTGTTCCTTCCTTGCGTTTGCATGCTTGCAGACAATTCGTGGGGCGTCGGCGTAGTTTGCCTTGCCATCGGCCAAGGTCTTGGACCCGCTTCTGACGTGCATCGAAGGCCTGTCACCCACTTCCACTTTGTTCGTTTCAGTGTCGCCTGACCTTGGTACCCAAAGCAACCGAACAAGCTTTACATTTGGGCTGCCATAGCCCCATGAAAGATGACATGTTGGGAGAAACCACAAAATGGTGAATCCGCCATTTAGGGATCTCTACAGTAGCTTCAGCACCTGCCCCTAACTTCGTCCAAGTCTGACCACCACCTGCGACCTAACCGGTGAATGTTAACTGCTCCCCAGGCAGATTTCTCTGGAAGTGTTCACGCCTTCAGAGCCCTAACACCTTCAGAGTGGCCGGGCTGGAATATGGAGTCCCTGCGTGCTGCACTCCAGTTCAGCTCTTCTTCGCTGCCCGCAGGAAGCGAGCAAGGACCTCACATGAACTACGTGGAGCAGCAGCCGCTGGCTGAGTCTGGATGTCGAGATTGCCAGTTCGGATGTCGTGGTTGTTCTCCGTTGTGTTTGCTTATGTAATATAAGTAGATCGATGGATTTATGAAGAATCCATTCAAGTACAAATGTGCTCGCGCATGTGTGTGTGTGTGCGTGTGTGTGTTTGTTTTGTTGCTTCTTGTGTTAAGATTGCTACGTATTGTTCTTGGGTCATGACCGAGTCATGACCCCAGGCAGGAAGGCATCGTCAATATACATGATGTGCGGAAGGACATGACTCAACACAGTGACGCCAACCGAGAAATTGTTACTTGAAAGGATCCCGTCACCTTTCGCACGCTTACACGTCCCAAATAGACTGGCGTGCGAAGGGCTTGATTGTCCACAAAGGCCTTGACTGTCCACAAGACCTTTCTGTGTTTGGAAGTGCCTTGAAGGCACAGCAGCGGCCCCATGTGAAAGAGCAGAACCTCCAGCGAGTTGGCAACGGAGATCCTGTCAGTTAGCCCAGGCGTGCCAAAGCCAGGAAAAGCGCCAGGGGCTCAGCACTGGGCTGGAGATGGTCGCAGGAGCCTTCTCTGAGCAGACAGCATGCGATGGGAACCTATGATTTGGTACAACCAAGGTTTTTCATTCTCCCATGTCTCATGATTGTGGGCCAGAGAGAGTGCAATGGCTCAGTGCGCAGGCTTGCAAACGTTGGCACCCGGAAGGCGATTCAGTGACGGGCAAACCTTAGCAGATTCACTTTGACCCTAAGCCCAGTTCTTGGCTGCGAAGCGCGCACTCCAAAACTCCCCCTTCAGTGTGTAACGCCGACCCCGGAGCAAAATGTGCACCAGCCAGCGCCCCTCCCCTTTGGCGCTGAGACGGGCCATGATCCTTTTGGATGATCGAGGGAATGGACTTTGGTTTTGCATGTACTTTTCACCACGCAGTTGAGCTCGCTGCGATTGAACTGAGAGACGAGGCATTGGATCCATCGTCAGATGAGGAGCGCATGTCGAGCCAACAAGTCGGTGGGGGAGAACGGAACTCGCAGCCCACGCATGTATTTCGATTCATGCCTGCAGCACAGGTTGTGCCCGCTGACCCTTCCAAAGAAGTCAATGAGTTAGGCCGGCTTTGAGGGGACATCTGGATCTTGGCTCCTACATTGCGTTGGTCGTGTGTTTGAGTCTCCACATCCAGACCCGTAGGCCACATTGCCAGAAACGTGTGGTGCAAGATTAGCGAGAGCTTAGTTTTTCCCTCGTGCAACAGCCGCGGAGCTTGCGAAAGAGATCGTCAACTGCCACGCACCGCGAGCCAGGTCTGCGGGTTTGCTTGTGCACAGAAGTCTTTCCAGTTGATGAATGCCCATCAGGTGCTGGGAGGTGTCCTGAAATTAGGTAGTCCCGTTTTTTGTTTTGAGAGGAAGATCATGGCCAGGACAATCTCCTCTGCGGCGGCTGCGGCGAAGCCTCTGACTCGGCGCCGGAAGAATCTTCGCTCCCCTAGGCGGACCTGAAGATGGGTCCCCTGCATCAGCTCTGGCAACTTTGGTCCAAATCCTCCAAACTGAACCGGTCTTCCATGTGAATCACCGATGCTTGTGGCTGGCCTCGCTTCCAATTTGCAGGAAGTAAGAAGCGTTTGGCCCCAATCATTGTTGCTCGTGTTGGGCTTTTTTGGGCTTTTAATTTGTTTGTCGGGAAGGCACTCGACATCATCATTCCTCCCTGCATTTGTTCCAGATCGGTTTGGCGTGCAGTTTTGCTCACGCGCTGTGGAAATCTAGGGAGCCCTGCTGCTTCAATAATGGCGCCGTGTTGCTCGTGAGCCTAGCGCTCCAGTTGGAGACATCGGAGCTGCTTCAGTCCGTTTATTGGCGCATCGGGTGATCCGCTTCCAACTCGAGAATGGCCAGGTGCCATGTCGGGCTGGGTCCGGTAGCTGCCAAAGAGCACCCCTCGAACCCGCATGAGACCAGGCTTGCCTCCCCATTCTCCCGTTGGCAAGAATGGGCAAAGTGCGCGTTGGTCACGGGCATTTCTTTGAGGAGTCTTGCATTTTTTTGGCAAATGTGTTTCTCGTGAACAAGTCCTGCGAATTCAGCACGCAGTTTTTGCAGATATGTCCAGGAGTGGTGAGAATGGGGAGGTAGCAGCTGGAGAGATGCCGGTAAGCCGCTAATGCACCACGCATGCTCCCTGCGAGCTTGAGGAAAAGGCGCGAATGTGGAGCACTTGAGGAGTCCAGCGGGTAGCGGCATTCATCCACCTCCAAGATGGAGTTAGTTGGCAATGGCCCGTACCATCCCTACCCACAAGTATCACGAGCCCAATATTTTGCTTACAGGGCAAGAGGGTTTGCGTTGAACTCAGGAGCGTGAGGCCTCATCCCACATAAGAGTTGTTGGAGGTGATTCTTGGAAGGGTACTTCAGAGAGCACTAGGTCTTGAGATTTCCTGGCATAGAAGTCCTGTTTGCCCGGTCCTCAATTGGTTCTTTGCGCTGTCATCTTGCTGGCTGAGGTGCTCTCGCTGGCGTGCACCATGTGCGGCCACCACGTCTTACTGGTTAGCGCATGGTGCATGGCAATGGAAAAGGGTGGCAGCAGCTCTTGAAACTGCGGCATTCTCTGGTTTGAACCTACGTTAGATGCCATTTTACCGCGCCATGCCATGCATTCTCCGGCTTGAAACTAGGGTGTTTGGCCATCTCACTGCCCGGTTTGACCTAGGTGTTACTTGAGCAAGCCTATGCCCGGGGCAAAGCATGGACTTGTATTGAAGAGTTGTGCGCCGGACCTGCTAACGCAACGCAGGAACTTGCTCTTGGAAGTCTATGGCAAGTACAGACCCAATCATGAGGCGAAGTTGAAGGAGGCCCGCGACGGCTCACACGGTCGGTTTTTTTTGGCCAAAGTGGAAGCTTAAAGGAGGAAGTTGGAGCCTTCATTTTAGCATGTCGTTTTGCTTTGCCAAGTAGCTGACAGTATGACTGGTAGTTGTTTGTGGTTTTGAATGACATTGTAGCCACCCCAATCCTCAGGCAGAACCCATGAGGCCCTTCGTGCATACATAATGGGAAATCATCTTGATCTATAGCCAAACAACCTGGATGCTTGAACTCGTAGGATATCTGGGTGATTCAATGCAAACCAAAGAAGTTGAGGCGATAGTGATGGCTTGTCGCTGGGCTCAGGATCTTCTGTAAGCTTTTGACAAGCCCTTTAGGATAAATGATGTCGCAAACATGGGACATGTTTCCAGCGCAGATTCCGGGGAGCTAAGATTATTTTTCGGCCATGTGCGTTCATCTTAACCGGATCATCTTTACACCAATCCCTGAAAATGAGCAGACTGGGTGTGTCTCAAAAGAACGCATATCAAGTGAGTGACTTTCTTAGGATCTCGTGCAACCCCAACTCGGCTACCCTTCGCACGACTTCAGGCGGAGAACCTCGCGAAGGTGCTGGAGCCGTTGGCGCTGACGGTGAGCACGCCCAGCCCACTTCTGGCAGATGGGGCTTTGGGTGTCATTGAGGATTCCTGCAGTCTTTGTGAGTGTCTGGGGTGCCATTTTTGGGCCACATTTCCTCCATAGAATCTGCATGGATCGATTGGCTGTGTCTGCCAGTGTGTGCTTTTTACCATATGAGTCAACCTCAGAATTATCAAAGACCACTTTATCAACGGCGTTTCATTCAATACTGGTTTTTGCATTTTCCTTGGAGAACGATAGGGGACTCACAAAAAACGATACCCCTGAACATGGTTTGTGCTGGACCTTCGAGCTGGAGCTGCCGAAGTCTAACTTGTGTACCGTGCCTGTACTGAAAGCTGCGACTTGCGACCTGGAGGTTGCTGCCAGCAAGCAAAAGCCGCTTAGACTGACACGTGACCGCCGCAAGCTGCGACCTTCGAGCTGGAGCTGCCGAAGTGTAACTTCTGCACTGCGCTTGTGGTGAAAGTTGCGACTTGCGACCTTGAGGTTGCTGCCAGCAAGCAAGCCGCCAAGACTGATATATGATTACCGCAAGGCAGAGAAGGCTATTGTGTGTTTGCCTGGCTCTAACAGCTTATGGAAAATTGTGAAAATTTTCGTCACGCGACACACGCCCAGAACGATACCCCGGTCGATACCCCGTCGATACCCCGAGCATTGGCCCGAGTTGCAAATGTGAGGCCTAGTGCATTTGCTTACAAAAGACTACGCGTGTGGTTCCAGTGCTGTGTTTGCGTAGAAAGTTTGTCGGGTGCTTTTCGAGTTCGCACGGCGCTATAGCGAGAGCGCTTGGGCACGCGTGGTCACCGCAAAGAGGGTTCACCGGACACGCGCAATCCTCGCAGAGGGTTCATTGGGCACTTTACGAATTTGCACGGCGCCACAGCGAGAGCGCTTGGGCGCGCTCCCTGCAGAGGGTTCATCGGGCAGTTTTAAAATTCGCACGGCGTCACAGCGAGGGCGCTGTGGCACGCGCAATCCTCGCAGAGGGTTCATCGGGCGCTTTACAAATTCGCGCGGCGCCACAGTGGGAGCGCTTCGAGGCGCGCGATCCCTGCAGAGGGTTCATCGGGCGCAGCACGAACACGCGAAACGTGGAGAACGATAGGGGACTCACTAAAAGTAGAATGAATACACCCCACACAGCAAATATAGACGCTGGCTCATATACTATGGCATACTGCAAGCCAATACTATTTGTCCACCTTGGTCAAAATGAAAACCGAAAGAAAACCAACTTTGTTTTGGGGGGGTTGCCGATTTTCTGACTGCCCAAACGGTTAAACGTGGGCAAACACACTTCGGGAACGTACTGGACTGGGGAGCTCCCAGTGGCTGCCGTGAGCTTCGGGTTTCGAGGTTATCCTAACATGCCCAACGTCACTCCAGATGGCTGTACTGCCTGTACGTCGAATATATTGATATTGCTGGGTTGTGCATCGCAATTCATAGGGCGAACCCCCCCCCCATTTTGGGGATTCCCGAATTTCGAGACACACACACACACACCGAGCCATTGGTTTGAAATCGCCACGGGGTAAGGAGGAGCTGCGCTTCTCAGTAAGATCTTTGGTGACTTGGTTCTTCCAGAATGAAGTGCCATGGGCTGCAAGATGTTCGTCCTTCTGGCCCTTCGATCATTCTGTTAGAACATGACGTGTAAAGGTGTGCCGCACCATTCATGGCAAAGTGGTCGTTGTAGTTTTGCTTCCCGACGGGCCCATGTTGCATGGCCAGACTTGGGACATGTTGCTGTCTTGCTTCTTTGGCGTTAGGGAAAGTCGTGCCTTGAAAGCCCAGATGTGCAGAATTCCATGCGGAAGCGAAGCCGGGAAAGTCGTGCCTTTCGTTGCAGTTACAGTGCGTTTTACATCCTAGGCTGGGAAGAACGTAGGAAGCTGTTTGTTTTGTACTGTGTTGCGTTTACATGGGGTTTGGCTGCGCTTGGCAGTTTCAGGATGGCGCACGGAAGTGACTTCATCTTGCGTTCACAGTGTGTTGGGCAGAGACCGAGGTTGCTTGTATGACTTCAACTGCAAGTTCAACATTGTGTTTAACCTGTGTATCAGCTTAGCTTGCGTGATTCCGGGGAACACCCATGGGGGCACTGATCCTTGAAATTCAGGATGCTCTCTCTCCTGTGTAAGTCGATGCGTCGGCTTCCAACTTTGTGTGCCACGCAGGGTCCATGTGGCTTCTTGTCTCACGCACCCTTTGGTTGTCTCATCTCTAAGTGCTACAGTACGGGGGAAGTCTGGAAACAAGTTTTGCTTCATGTTTTCGGACAACTGATTGCAAGCTGCTGGCACGGCCTCGGCGCCTGCGGCTTTTCTCAGGGGCAGAACAAAGCAGTGATGGCATGGAGCAAAATGTAATTGCGCAGGGAGGACAATTTATCGACTTTGCCGCGTCCACCAGATCCTTTTAGACGTTCGCCGCACCAGCCATGACGACTCCTTCCAAGCGGGCACGGGTTGAAGAGCCTGAGTCTTCGCAGAAGGCCTGGGGTGTCGGAGCCGTCGCGGAAGGCGCGTCGCGGAAGGCAACAAGCCGTCCAACGCCTTGGCAGGGCGGGCGTCCTGCGGTGTCGTTCCCGGAAAGAGGCTGCGACGAGACACAGTCCTCATAGACCGTGCTGCAGAGATTTTTCAGTCCAGGGCATCAAATGCCGGCACTGTGGCCCCTCCGAAAACCAAGGCTGCAACTGCCTTGGATTTGGTGGTAGAAGTAAGCCCGCAGAAGCAGACTTGCAATGTGGACGGGTGCAAGGCAAAGATTACGGTGTGTGACCGCTTCTGCAACCAGCGCGGTAAAGAAAGCCCCCACTATGACGCCCAGGTGCGCGACCTGTACCGCTCTGGAAAACGGTCTGGTTGGTTCCGCCCGCAAGAACCTGAAGCCGCTGTTTGTGAGACAGAGGCGGAGAGAGATTTGGCAGCTGGCATCGGGGATTTGTTCCAAAGGCTTCGTAAAAAGACAAAAGCTCCGCCGGCGACGGCGCTGGCAGACGATCATGAACCTGGCGCACCATCCACATCGGCTGCGCCTGCTGTTGTTTCTGCGGCTCCTTCGGCGCCGGCTCCGGTGGCCCCTGTGGCGCCGGCTAGCACCAGCTCCCCCGATCGAGCAAGACGTAGAGTTAGACCTTGATGACCCGTTAGACATTGAAAGGTTCATTGTGCACCACTTTCCTGAAGCTCAAATAGATCAGGTTCGCCCAGTTGCGAAATTTTACATTTCGCATTTGAAACCTCAAACGTCCAGAAAAATTCCCCTGTCAGCCTTGGTCCGATTGAAATTGGTGCAGAACCACCATTTGAAGACCAAAGCTCGCAGAAAGGCATGGTTCGACGCGTGGGCTGCCAACAGGGCGGCTCGCTTCGTCAAGATCACAACAACCTCCTGAATGTGAGTGCTTGTTGCTTTGCTGTTGCCCAATGGCTTTTCTGGAGGGACGTTTCAACTGCGTTTGGAGTGGGAAAAGCAGCAGAGGAAGGGTGGCTTGTTTTGTCCGTTGAGAATGGGCACTTGCTTTTGTAAGCTAATTTTGCGGGCGTGATGTTTGTGTTGCGGTGAGAGTGGGGGAAGCGACAAGGAAGGTGCTTGGACGTGTTGTTCTTCCGCGGCCTCGCGCGTATGCGGTTTGCGCTGCGTTTAGAGTGGGGGAGGGCACTGGGGGAAGATCAGACCTCTTGTTGAAACTAGACACGCGTTTGTCCGCTGATCTCGCGGGCGTGATGTTTGTGTTGCGTTTAGAGGGGGGGAGCCATCAAAGGAAAGGTTTAGGCGTGACTTCTTGAATCTTGCGTTTGCAGGGGGGGGCGCCCCGAGGCAGGACTTAGGCAGGACGTAGCTGATCATAGGCTGATTGATTCCCTTAAAGGCAACCAGCATAATTTATAGGTGTCATCCTTGTGTTTGTTTTCTGCTTCTTCTTTTTTTGGAAAGTTGGGCGCCCGGCTTCCAACGACGCGTGCTTGTTTTGTGCCAACGGCTCGAGGTGGGCGGCTACGACACCGCTGACAACTTTCTGCCGGCGGAGGAGTTTGGCCGAGAAAGGCGCGGCGGTTCGGAGCCGGCAGCCCCAAGGGAGGGTTTGCGAGAAGATGGGACTGCAACTTTACAGTATCCAGGCAGCACTACACATGTCTAAATGTGTTTTGCCAATGTCCTCATTCAGAACATGACCGCAATGCTGTCACTGCAATTATAGGGTGTGCCAGGTGTGGCTGTGTGCATTCTTGCAAAGACGTAAACAGCTCGGAAGCGACACGGCCAGACCCTGAAACATGTAATGAATTCCCTGCACTGGATCCTGGTCCCGAACGAATCGCTTGACTCTTGACCGTCGCCACCCAACCTGGAACCTCCGACCTCGCTCCCAAGGTGATACGTGACTAGTACCTTGCATGTAGGAGGCTTATTAGCCTCAAACGCTGCTGGCACTTGGATCCTCAAGGGAATTATGATAGTTGCTACTTGAAGCGTAGGTAACAACTGAAGCCATCAATGCAGAGCGGCCGATCCATCCGAGGAACATGTTGCCTTTGTTAATATTAACCGCTGTCAAACAGGAGTCCGCGCACTTCATCAACATCTTTTTGGAAGAACTTGATGATATTAATATGATACTTGCGAGCAGAATATTACACAGACACAACTTGCGACAACTTTGTCAAAACTGATTGACCTTTCCCATGAAGGCGTCCTCCTCAAGTCCCCGGCATATAGGCCCTTTGTATTGCCGTCGGGGGAACAAGCATATGTAGATCAGTTTCGAACAGCTTCTTCTTGCAAGCGTGGCGCTAAGCCACCTTTCCCATTAGAGACCCTAACCTTCAGCAGATCTAGCAGCGCAAAGTGGCCCGCCTCGAGCCCCTTCTCTGGCTGAGCCAGCCAATCCTGCAAACCGGGATGCGGAACCTCTGAACATGCCACATGGGAAGAAGCGTTTGTGGTTTCTAGCAGACGCACCGAAAGGCACGTGACGCAGTTAAAAATGTTCTTTCCTGCCAACGCAAAAGTGCTAGGCATAGTGGCACACATAATACCGCCCTGCTACTTGTGGAGCACCAACCAACAGTAACTAGCTTAGCCATGACAATCCCTCTCTCCTGACTTCAATTCTAGCAGCAGCTGCTGGTTCGATTGCTGTGTGCAATGGTGTGTTTGCTCTCATATGCAGTTTGCAGGTGTTCATGGAGGGTGACAGCTTGTGCACCATAGGGCGAGCTTGAAGCATGCTGCAAATGCCACTGACTGGCTGCAGGTATGCTTCCCACGCAGAGTGGTATTGGATCCCAGTGACTTGGCAGCCAGCAATACAGTTGTTGCTTCTTCCAGAGCTTACCACCATGTTTGACTTGCTGATGCTTGGTAAACTTGTGTATTTTCCCATGTATTTGCATGATGTTGCGATCATCAGTCTGCCATTGGACGCTAGTTCGTTGCGGATTTCAGCGCACACTTGACAATACGCATGGAGCGGCGCAAGCGTGGCATCCGGTTGACTGAGGTGAATGGAGCGCCAAAGAAGCTGAGCAAGCCCAAGAAGGCTGAGCAAGAGGGCAACTGCTGACGGACTTTTGGGTGTTTGGTCATACCAAAACATCTCCTTCGAAAGCTGGCCATCACGATGACCCACATGGATATCACAGACAGGTTGTGTTCCACGGCCAAGATCGGTCCCTGGATGCGCAAGTCCCAAATGGCTAGTTGAATTTGAATGAGGAATTGCCTCCCAAATGGTTGGTGGACCTTAATGATGTTCATCAGAGGGTCCCCAATTAAGATTCACACCCCAAACATCAAATATGTTTATCTCGTTGGAGTTGGGGGGTGGCAAGCATTTGAGCTGCCAAGCCAGCCACCAAGACCGCAGACTGATTGTCATGAAGGCACTCGTCACTTGTAAGATCCTTGGGGTTTTGGTTGATCTCCCAAATTTATTTGCAACTTCCGTGATGTTTAGCTTCTGTATTAGCTATAGTAGGAGAGTCATCACGACAGTATCCTTTGCTGGCGAGGGGCGCAATATCAAGAGAGAGAGAGAGAGATAGAGTGAGAGATGCAACCCAAGGACAACCCCAATTGATCAAGTTGACATATCCAAATTGTGTCTTTTGCAGTGAGTGTCGACAAGTCTTTAGGACCAACGGGCAGTCACTGCCAGACCAACTGATAGTGTTGGGTCAAGGGACTTGCGTGTTTGGTCTGAGAACTGCATCCTTCAAATTTGATGTTTGAAAGCCCTTTATTTGGTCCCCCCTATCAATAGAAGGCCTCCCCACAAATAAGATCCCCTAAGGAGAAACAACGTTGTTTTTTTTTGTCCACTGCTCCAGACTTGGACTACCAACCAACCTGGAAAGTACTTCCCCCTTTTCCGGGGGCGGAAAAGTTAGAAGATGGCAGTTTGTTAATACAGGATTCAAATGGAAACACAACCTGTTACTCTTTCAAATGGCAGAGGGTCCCCGGAGGAGAGGTCGGTGGAAAAGTTGCTGGTTTAGTATTGGTTTAGACTTGGCCTGTTCTATTTTGGTGTTGGGAATTCCGGGGGTTTGAAGAAGAGGTTGCTATGTTACTAGGCAAACCTTTGTTGTTGGGGATTGGCGAAGGATCGTATGAGGTTCCCTTTTGAGGGAGCCCCGGCCGTTCCTTGCACGACCAGGTTTTTGCCATGGCACGACTAGGCTCAGATTGGTTCGCAGCATGCCAGGATCCTCCGATGAAGAAGGTGCTGCAGTTCTTAGGCGCCCAAGCACCGGATCTACCGCACCGACCTTATTTTGCAGAGTTCTGTGTATGCAGGTTTCCACCGCACATTCCTGGGTTTTGGCCAGCCAAGTATGTGGAGCTTGCTGAAGGCAGCGTGTTCTTGGGGAGCCCTTCGGCCTCGGACTGAGACTTACGGTGCCTGACATGCTGGAGAAGTGGGAAATAGCCATGAAGGAGCGCGTCTTTGAGCAATGCCATGCAGGAATGTTGCTTTTGGCTACTTCCACGAAGGAATGTTGCGTATTTGCGGGAAGAGCCTCAATTATGACCTATCCAAGACCAGCACCTCTGGTATATGAGGTAAAACTCGCTAGGCGCACAAAGCTGCCGTTGTGTTTGTTCATTGCTTGTGGGATGCACTTCCAACAGCTTCATCAAATGTCTTAAGGGTGCGCGCATGCGAAACCACTTCTTTATCTCCAGTACCACAAGCAACGTGATGTGGGAGACTGTTAAGTTGAGGGATAGCTGACATGTTTTGAGAGCGGACCTTCACATTGGCATGCCTTCATATTGTGTGCAGAAGGAAATGCAAGAAAGCAGCAGTGGATACAGTGCTGAACATGTCGGCAACGTGGATGGCAATGAATGATGCCAAGCACGGCACGAGCGGCCGTGTGGGCAACCTTATTTACTCTGATCTGATTCTTGGCTTATCTTGGAATGTTGCGGGGGTCTGGTGGTGCAACCTTTGAGCTTTGTTCTCAGCCCGCTCATGTGATTGGCGCCTGGGGACATGGGACCTGCAGAATGGTGTCCCTTTGAAGCCACCGCCGGTTTATCGGAGCCAAGCAACCCCGAAGGAGAACCCCCCGCCAAAGCCGGAGCCAGATCTCGGCCGGGGCCTTGAGCTTGGAGACGGTGGCATTTTGTTGCTGAACAGAGCCAGTGTGCCGGGTTGGCTGGCTGGCTGGCTGGCTGGGTCACAATTAGTTGCCCAAAGCTCGCCGCAACAGCTTACGTGGAAGAGCATGAATTGCAAGCGAGGGGAATCAATCTTCCAACTACGCCGTGGCAGTCGTTAGCTTGTTATTGAATCTGCAGGGAGGCCAGAGGGTTGCACGCCAAGAAATAGCGAAGCCTTCCAGGCGTTTTTTGTTTGTTAAAGCTGAGGATCCCTGCCAGAAGACTGGATTTTGAACACGGTAGGCCTTAGGAAGCCTGTCCTTGGAGCTTGTGATCACATGATTCTCCAGTGGTTTTCAACAGGCGGCGTCTCCGACATGGCCTCGGCCTCAAATCCGGGGGCTTCAACAATCACCGACTGATGAGAAAGCGATTGGATCACGATGCACATTTTGGACACTGAATCATTGCCTCTCACTTGGCATGTGGGAACGAGTCGGAAATGCAGCCCCTGCCAACATCTTCCAACTCCTTGGCTCTTGCCGGTCTCCCTGTGGTTCTTGTGAAGACCAGCCACAAAAAGAGTCAGTTGGAGGGTTTTGACTGAGCTGCTTGTCATTATCATGCTTCCTCGCTTGTGGGATGACCTGACAAAGAAACCAACATGCAACAAATAATTTGGAAGCATTCCATGTTGCAAGCAACTCAGTTTTGGCATGTTGCCGGGGTAGAGCCTTGTTTCCTACACGCAAAATTTGAGCCCAACCAAACTACCTACCTACCTACCTACCTACCAGCCTACCAGCCTGCCAGCCTGCCAGCCTACCATCCTACCAGCCTACTGCAGCCAGCAAACCCGAGCCTGCCAACCATCCAACCAGCCAGCTAGCCAGCCAAATCGAGCAAGCCAACCATCCAACCAGTCGAACCAGCCAACTAGCCAGCCAACTAGCCAGCCAACCAGCCAACTAGCCAACCAGCCAACCCGCCAGCAGCCAACCCGCCAGCCAACCCGAGCCAGCCAACCATCCAACCAGCCAACCAGCCAACCAGCGAACCAGAGAACCAAACAGACCAAGCCCACCGCCCCACCGGATTTCCATCCCAAGCACTTTCAGGCCGGGCTAAGTGGCCTGGGTGACCTCAGTGACCTTGGCAGCCTTGGCGAGGCACCTGCGTTTGCTGGGCCCAGCCAGAGATCTCCTTTCAAATGGAACCTTTGGCGCCTGGGTGAATGAATCTGGATCGAACTATGTCACATGGGAGTTGGGTTTACATTATAAGACGCCTGTCAATTTGCAGCATCGAGGTCGGTAGATAGGCGTAAGACCTACCCCTTTCGTAGCTCGGCGCCAGGCCCAAAACGTCAAGACCGAGCTGTGAGCCACAAGAAAGCTGCCTGCTGTGTGTCAAGGAGACCCCCGTTTTGGGGGTGCTGTCAAAAGGGGACGCCAAGACGCCAAGATCCTAATTTGACACACAGCCAGATTTTGAAAGATTTTGAAGAGGGTGTCCGCTGCTCAGTGGCCACTGGATTTTTTGCGGTACATGGATTTCTGGATGTTCTTGCTGCTGGATACGGGTCGATCAGTTTGACAGTCCGGCCTTTTCAGTTTCGGATTGGAGATACCAACGCAGGCGCTTGGTAGCAGTGTCGATATTCTTAATTTGCATGTGAGCAAGGGAGTAAATATTGGTACGTAAAACACCGACCAAGGCGAGCTGAATATGTTGTTTGACATCAACCTGACAGACAATTCTCATGCATGCCAGGGCGAGTGAAAGCTGGACCACAAGTGGGGCTTCGAGACAGCACTTCAGATCAATGTGTGTCGTGTGTTTGTTCTTTGTTTGTGTGAGTGCATCATCTCGAATTGTGAAGTGTTGAACAGTGTTTTTGGGGGCATGTACTTCTATCATAGCATGTTTCATGCCGAAGCCCAACGCGGCTTTTGGCTCAAGCTTTTCACCTGGCATTCATTGCTCGCCATTTCGTCGGGAAAAGATCACGGCGCACCTTCACACCGGCCTCGTGTTTACGCGGCCGTTGTGCCTGGGGCGGTGTTCTTTGTCCTGGAGGTGGGTCGGGCTATTGTTTGAGGTGCGCTGCTATTGCTTGCTTTGCTCGCTTGGTGCTGCTTGCTGCTGGTTTGCCTGCCTGCTCTGCGCTGTGCTGCGCTTCTGCTTGGTTTCTTCTTGTTACAACGAGGCACCCCTTTTGGTTCGGGTTAGTGCCGGCCGAGGGCAACCGCTTTGCCCTTGGGACCGGGGGGATAAGGTGGTCTCTTCTTGTTGGTGGGTTAGGGCCTGTTTTATCCATCCCGAAACTCTGTTTCAAACCCTTTCGCAGGTTATCAGCCGTAGGATTCGTCCTCGGTTGGCACCGCGAACCCCCTTTTTAACAACCCTGCAGGCATCGTAGGGTAGTGTAAATAGTATGGCGGGAATCACTGAGGATGGACCTCATGTGGTAACCGATGAATGGGTTCTCGGCCAGGCCGGAATCTTGGACGTTGTGAATGACGACCAAGTGCCCGGACAGCCGATGTTTTCCGGTCCTGACTTTTTGTCGGACCACACTTTTTCAGAAGCAATGCCTTCAGGGAGATCCAGTGCTACTCGCACTGATGATCTATCGTCTAATGCCTCAAGAGCTAATCGCTCTCAGGGTCATGGGGCTAATCGTCCTGACCATGATGATTCCGTCTCAGGACGTGATGATGACGAGCCCGGTAGTGCACCTGGAGCTCAATCCTCATCTTTCCCGGAGCTGATGAATATTGGTCAGTCCGAGTTTCGTGACTCTCGAAGTAGCAGTAGACCTGTGCCAACCAGTAGCATAGCTTTTCAAGTGCTCGGTAATCCCGAACCTGGTACATCCAGTGGAGTTGCATTTGACGTTCATCTGCCGACCGAATCCGGTGGGCTCGATTGGAGAGCCTCATGGCCCAACGACGGAAACATTTTTGGTATGGATTATGCCGCATGGATGCCAGG